AAAAGGGGTTATATAGGGGACTACAGCTCAATGGCTGGATAGTATCTTTCGAGATTGTCCGGAACTAGTCAACAACACTTCTATTCACTCTCTGAAGGTCCTACTGTACGGTGCATCTGGCATTCGGACACTCACGTTTGGAAATGCTCTTATGTCAGTATGAGAAGCACAGCACTCAAGTTCTGTTTAGCAGCACGACGTGTGAGCCACTCCCTCCATATAAAGCTTGCTAAGGTTTTCCGGTTTCATCTTACGGGAAGCATGGAGAATCAGGAGAGAAAAAGTATGCTTTGCCCCAGTTCCCTTCCGAGATGGGGGGTCTATACATGGGGGAACTAGTATGAGCTACAGTCCAACCTCCCCCCTCAGTAACCCCTAATATAATCCTCTAGAGAATCCCTTACGTAACCCCCTTTTAGAAATTTAGACTATAGCTCATATGATGCTGACAATACGGGCCGCCTGAAAAGGTACCCGTTTTTTGAAAAACCCTAGATGCTTTGAACAATCTTGAAGGACTGGCTCGAAGCTTCAGCAACTCGCACACAATCAGCGGGGATTTCTCTAACTGGGTCATTCTCAAAATTATGGGCAGCCGGCAGCCGTTGCTTACAGACTATTTTATTACGGCACCTAAGACTTAGGGGTACCTTAAGTTTGGGAGCTACCCATACAGGGGCTCCAGAGACCCCGGGCACATATAGGAACTGTAGAAGGACTGTGGGGGATCCTGATTGCGGACCTGCAGGTTTTCCAGAGATACCCACATGACGATCTAGACGGCAAAGTTGGTTCCTGTCCAAAACCATGCCGATGCCCAAAAGGAGTAATCCATACTGAGGACCATCGAACCCCCCACATGAAATACTGCTCACATGCTTCGGGGTGAACATGAGGATCCCAAGCAAATACAAATCCCATGGACATGCAATCGTACTTCTTTTGGGGTCCTGAATTCACAGCCCCACTTCTTCTCGAGATTCAAGCTGTCGGAACCCAAAACGCTATACCCTGAAGCCACAAAGCCCAAATCCTCAAGCCTGAACCCATCAACCCTTTTTTCAGCACCTTGCGCTAGATGAGTCTCAGGCTTGCAGCACCCTTGAAGAGGCTTCATAAAGGGCCCCTCTGTAGAACCTAAACGCTTGAACTCAAAACCATACGGCTGGGTTTAAACAGGTTAGGGTCAGAAGCCCAAAGCGAAAACCAAACTGGCCTTGAGGAACTTCAGCTGCCGCTGCACGAAACTCATCTCCGCGACAACGCCGCCTTCAACGATGCGCTTCTTGTCTGTGTGGGCTCAAGGGCTTTGAAGCGGTTCAGATTTAGGACTAGTTTGACTAAATTAAACAGGCGCATCACATTGCAGACAAGTGAGCAAACGGCAAGCTCTACATATCAGCTACTATCTAAGATTGAGTGTTTAGCGCTCAGGCTTTTTACATCTTTTTTCCCTTGCCGCAGGTAAATGCCCACAGAGCAAGTTTGTGTTCAGGCTGGTTTAGGGTTTACGCTTTAGGTTT